TGTGGCCATCCTTATGAAGCACATCCTTTGTAGAGCCCTCAAGGGAACTCTGCCTCATGGAAGATCGTATCCGCAAACCCTCATCGTATCCCATATACTAATCTGTGTAGAACTCAATAAGGACACCTGCCCCAACAAAGCCTGTAAAGAACCCTTGCAGGGACCCTAGGATTCAGAAGGCACTGAACCCTAATGAAACCCTAAACATTCACAGAACCCTTCAAGCCCAAACTCAAAACCCTAAACATTGACAGAGCCTTGAAAGTACGTTTGAGAAAAACAGGATATCAACCCCCGTGGCTACAGCAAATGGCCGCTGGATCGATTTGTGAAAGCAGCGCACGAGGGTGACCTCGAGCTCTTGGGTAAGATGCGCCTCGACGAGAGAGTAGTTCTCCAAAGTCTGGTCATGGTTAAGTCCCCAACATATTACGTCTGGCACCTTAGAAAATGGACCCCGAAAGGAACCTTAATATAGAGAGATGCCCAAGCCACAAGGGTTCAGGGCTTGGGCTTTAGGTCACCTCGGTGGTCGCACCGTGCGGTAGCGGCTTGAATTTTCAGGTCATGGCCCTGGTTGGAAAGCATTAAATAGAAAAGGACTTCATGCATTGCCCAGCCTCTCTGCCGAGGCTCGATCGTGAGGACCCGATCAATGGCTACCACCATGACTTCAATGCGCACCACAAACCTGATGGCCACTCCGGTACAACAAAAAGGAAGGTTTAGGGTTTAGGGCTACTGTGAGGGGTTCTTTATAAGGGATGGAGGGCTTCATGTGTTTTTGGGTTTGGTGTTTGGATTTTGCATATGGGGTTCAGGGCTTAGGGATTGTATGGGGTGTCGGGTTGGATAGTTAAACTAGGGCGTGCAGCCGAGGTTTCAATGCGCTGCATGCCGCCGCAACAGCTGGCCAACTAGAGGCAGTGCAGATGTTGCTAGATGCGACCTGGCCGAGTGTAGGGTTTTGGGTTGGGGGTTGAAAAGCCTGGGCTTTATGCCACAGAAGCACACATGTCTTAAGCTTCGGCGGTCTCTTGGACGCATACACGTTGAAGTCTGCAAAAGCACAGAGAAGCCGAGCATTCAGAAAAACAAGCGCATGTATGAGCGCACACACCCACCTACCCATCCACCCGCCCACTTACCCACCCACATGCACGCACGCATGCACGCACGCACACGGATCCTTAAACGGCATCCTGTAGAGACTCTGAGGACCAAATCTGAACGCCAAGAGATTTGAGGCTTTGTTTACATGTGTATTGTCTGGCACTCAGGTCACATGAAAATTAGGGTTCAGAGGCTGGGGGTGACAGCGTAAGTTAAACCCGCACCAGCAACTTGCTTGAAGTAACGATATGTACGGTGATTCCAATGACAGGGCAAGTGTTAAATATTGGTTTAGTTGCCATCGCCTAATGAGCAGGCGGGTTAAACTCAGCAAGATGTGAGATCAACCGCCGTTGATGGAGGGGGGGATCGGGACTAAGTTATGAGATCAACCGAACTTGGGCAATGAGGGGGCGAGTTTGGGATGTGGGATCGACCGCACTCGCTGAATGAGGGGCAAGTTTGAGACATGGGAGTTTCCGAAAATAGGGGACCCTAATATAGTGCCCTAAATAGTAGGATCCTTATTATATTATAAGGGCCCCAAATAAGGTACTCCCTACTTGTCGGAAACTCCCATATGAAATCAACCGCCATCGCCTACTGCCCGACGGGCTCGGTCGCGACACGAGATCCAGCGCCGTCGTCTAACGAAGGGCGGGGTAAAGAGAGACGAGACCCGATGAACCTTCACTCCTAAGCCCTAAGCCCTAACGGTTTAGGGTTTAGGGTTTAGGGTTTAGGGTTTAGGGTTTCTAAACCCACCACACTGAGGACGTCGTCAAGAGACCCCAAGCTAGAGCAAGCCCGCATCAAAAGATGCACAACGGCCAAGCTCGACATTCTTAACCCCTGCGCCGAGCCCTCGAAGAGTCGCCAAGCTCTCAAAAATGGACGACCTGAAGTGGCGAACCCTAAAGTCCTGCTTTTATACAGACCTAAACCAGACACCCAGGCGATAAAGATGTAGTAGGGATTGGAAGACATTCCTAAATCCAACCAGTCTCAAAAGACGCATATAAGCCCGTATAGACTTCTTACTGTTTACGGTTCCTTCCCATTGTCATAGTACACTATGCCCCCAAACTTGTTAAGGTCCTTATATTAGCCTAAACCCTCAACTTCATCTGTCGCCCCAAAATTCCGCCGTCTTAGGGTTCTTTAGTATGTTTATGCACATCATTCCTTAAAGCGGGTGATTCTTTAGTGTTCAGCTAGACCTCAAAGCTCTCCCTTTGTTTTGTATACACGATGCTTTAAAAAGGTTGGATTCCTCAGTGTTCAGATATATACTTAAAGGATCATGCGACTTAGTAACTATGGTTATAATTAAGGTAACTATACCTATAACCCCAATTAAGGTACTTATAAACTTACTTACTAAGTCCCATGATCCTCCCAAGTAGACCCTAAACCCTAAACCCTATAGATCCCTTTAAGGAGCCCTATAGATACCTTTGAAGAACCCCGTAGATCCCTTTAAGGGAAGTCCCACATGAACATCTCTCCAAGCTCTACCGGACCTTAGGCTGGCGCAGATCCCCACGTCAAGCGGTGCATGCCCGAAGGTCGGGGGGGGGTAGGGGGTAGGGGTAGTGGGGGGTGAGTCTCGCGGGTAGGGGTTAGGGGTAAGGGTTTAGGGTATAGGGCTTCTTAGGCCTTATAGGATTTAGGGTTTTGCGTTTTGTTTAGGTTCAGGGTTCAGAGTTTAGGGTTCAGAGTTGAGGGTTTATAGTTTTAGAGTTCATGGTGCACGATTTAATATGAGAGGTCGGAATACTGAGCAAGATGCGCCTACATAGCTATAGTATACTAGACTACACAACCTTACTCGCAATTCTGAATTGCCCTCGCTTTAGGCTGTAAGGTTCCAGGGTTTAGAGGTTGGGAGTGGGAGTTTGGGGAGTTGGGCAATCCTCAACATTGAGGGTTTGGGGAGTGGGGAGTAGTGCTTCGGATTTACACAGCTGTTGGTGGGGTTTAAGGTTTAGGGTTCAGGGGTTTAGGGTTTAGCGGTGGATTGGATTACCGAAAGTAGCTGTAACGGAAGCCCTCTTGCCGGCGTAGCCTGTGGTGCTTGTCAGCTCAGTGGTTCAGGATAAGGGAGCAGGGTTTCAAGTTCGGGAGTAGAGTTTGGAGTGTAGCCTCAGCCTCTTGGATCGGGTTCCGGGTTGAAGCTTCTGTCTAAGGTTACTTGGAGGATCATGGGACTTAGTAAGTATTGTTATAAGTACCTTAATTGGAGTTATAAGTATAGTTAACCTAATTATAACCCTGGTTACTAAGTCCCATGATCCTTTAAGTAGGGATAGGGATACAGGAGATTTAGGCCGGGTATTTGTTCGGGGGGTTGAGGGCCAAAGGCTCTTGCCCTAAACCGTTTATCCTAAGCCCCTAGAGCCTGAGTGCTGAACCCACTAGGGACTTTGAGCGCAGGGCTTCGGAATTCGGAGGTTGGGCCGCTTTGGGGTTTATTTAGTAGAGACGCAAGGGGCACCCTTAGCCCCTAAGGTGTGAACCCGAACCCCCGGCCCAAAACCAAACAAAACCTGAAACCTTAAACCGTAAACTCCCCCAGCAGACTACGTACCCGAAACCCAAAGCCCAAACAGCAGAAACAGACCCTAAATCCTAAACCTTACAAACCCCCAAATCCTAAACCCTAAACAGCAGAAACGCCCAAGGCCCCACGGGCCCAAGCCCCAAAGCTCCAATGCACAGCCCCCAAAGCCGGGAAAGCCCTGAAGCCTGGGAGCCCCTGACCCTAAGCCTTATAACTTATAACTCCTGAGTTTTGCCTCATGAAACCCCCAAAAAATCAGCCCAAATCCTAAACCTTACACACCCTAAACCCTGTATTGCACTTAAAAGAAAGTCCTGGAAAGCCCTATAGAGTCGAGGCAAAGATCCCCGAGAGGGCGAGACTGCCCGCGAGATGGCAGACAAGCCTCTTAGATGCCTGAGTTTGAGGGTTCAAAGGTTTAGGGGGTTCAGGGTTTGGGATTCAGGGTTTAGGGATTCAGGGTTTAGGGGTTCAGGGTTTATGGGGGTTCAGGGTTCAGAGGTTCAGGGTTTAGGGGTTCAGGGTTTAGGGTTCGGGGTTCAGAGTATAGGGGCTTGTTCGTTACTTGTATGTCGTACTGTCATTATTAGTGCAGAATTAGTACCATTGCCTTGATGCTTGGGATCAATCCGAAACAACAAGCCCCCCAAAGCACCTTGAGTAAAAGCAGCTTATACGCAAGGTACTTGGGGGCTGTTGTTTCGGAATGATCCTTATAATAAGCTGACCTTTTTGAACAGGGTTGGTGATTTCTGGCTTTTTCTCGAAACGAGTGCGAGATCTTCATAGCAAGGATTGACTTCTTCGGGCTTACATCAAAGTACACGGAGTATTCCCAAAACCCTATTAAACCTATACCCTAAGGCTCTAACGCCCTGGTTTAAGTCTTGAACCTCTCATTTGGATGTTGGTTTTTTGGCTCGGATTTAGAGTTGCTTTCCGAGGTGTTGGGCTCCGTGCCATCGCAACAGCGGAGCATTCCGAGAATCGGGTTGTTAATTAGAATAGGATTCCTTTTGAAGGGTCCTCTAAAGGGGTGTATAAGGATTACAATAAGGGGTATTATGGAGTCTTAGTAAAGGGCCCGAAGTAATTACTAACACTATTTCGGGAGCTCCTTACTATATATATATATATATATATATATTAGAGTTATAGGCTAATGGGCCTCAAAACCCTATTCTATTCTGAAGGCCCTTGTATTCCCCTATATTAGAAGGCTTAAGTGTGGCATCGAAGACGGTGCGCCTTCTGCGGGACAGTGAAGAGTACGGCTAGGACTATAGCAGTGTAGACGGTCATGGTGAGGACGAAAATGATAGCCATGGCGACAGATTGTGATGGTGGCGGAGGCTCTTGGTGAAGAAGCATTAGGTCTGCAATGACCATGGCAGGAGAACGGGAGCAGCAGTCACGGCCAACACCACCACACTCACCGCTCCAGCCTGGCATAAAGAGAATGACCCTGTTGATGCTGTGGATGACGCTGAGTGCAGACCTCACTGCTGAGTGCAGCCTACCCTAAGGTTCCACTGTACCCATATCGCATATACTTCAGCCGTAACAGTTATATATACTTTCGGAAAAGGAGCCTACAGCTTGAACCCTGAAGCCCTAAGCCCTAAACCCTTTCAGTAAATGAGCCAAGGCACGGATGGGACGACATCGTGACTTGGCCTTCCCAGTTTTCAGTAGACTTCCAGCTTTACAAGCTCAGAGTTCAGGATTTAGGGTTTAGGATTTAAGGTTTTAGGGCTTGGGTTTGTTGGGCCTGTAGGGGTTTAGGCTTTGGTGTTTAGGCTTGAGGCTTACGGTGTCGGGTTAGGTTACCAAAGGTCTGAAATTCTGGAAGTCCTCTTTCTGCGGCCTCGCTCAACACCATCAACGGCTTTACTACCACCACTCCACAGGAACTGCTCTCCGTTTCAAGAAAGCACCGTAAACTCCAAAGCCACTTTCGAAGGCATCTGGAGGCGGCGCAACGCCAAATTGCCTAAACGTCTTTGACACGACGTCGGGATGTGGTTGGCAGGCTCCAGAGCCCCGAAACAATGGCCGCACCCAAGAAACCCGACGACTGAAGCTCCAAACCCACACAATCGAAACACCAAAAATTCCGACAAGCGAGACCGAAGAGCCAGCTAACGGAAACCTCAAACCCCGAAAACCGAAGCCCCAAAGAATTAAGACTTGGAAAAAATTAGTGGTACCTTACTTTGGGGTCCTTATAATAAGGATCCTAGCATTTAGGGTACGGGTAGATGGATGGATGGATGGATGGATGGAAGTTTGTAAGAGTGGCTTGATGGATTTCGAATTCCCGACTACACTAGGGTCCGCTATGTTTCGGAAACTCCCATTTGATCCTGGGGCCCTCCAGTCGGGTTGGGGTGCAGGGCTTGTGGGTTAGTGTTTGGGGAGTTTGGGCGTTTAGGGGTTTAGGGTTTAGGTGCCTTTAGGGGCTTTTGGGGTTTTGACTTGAGGGTTTAGGGGTTTAGGGTTTAGGGTTTAGGTGCTATTTTTGGGGCATTTAGGATTCTGAGTTCAGGGTTTAGGGGTTTAGGGGTTTGGGGTTCGGAGTTTGGGCGGCTTAGAAGCTAGCAGGAACTATAGTTATACTTTCAGGGTCTCTGTGCCCAAATGGCATAGACTTGGGCCTTAGAGTACCTATATACTATAGGTAACACTTAGAGGCCAAGATATACTGTTTGCATACATGGATGTACGCATGCATGCAAGGGCAGATGTACCGGCACTGTAACCCTCAACCTTAAACACAGCCCCAAAGGGATTTGTTTATATCTTTAATCATCGCATACTCCCTCAGCTATTGAAAATGAAAATCCTGAACCCACATACCCAAATATTGGGCCCCTAGCTTGAGGTCGCCGTCCTCAAGGAGGCCGAAGAGAAGCGGCCGAGAGGGTTGTACAAAGAGCTCTTTGGCCGAGAAAGGGGGGTTTGGCGTTAGGCTTTAGGGCTCAGGGTTTAGGGTTTGGGGTTTAGGGGTTTAGGGTTTAATGGTTTAGGGTTTGGGGTTTTAGGGGTCTAGGGGTTTAGGGTTTAGGGTTTGGAATCCAGGGTTTTAGGGTTTAGGAGAGGTCAGGGGTTTGCGGTGCGGTGTTGGGGCCTACAGGCGGTCAGGGGGGTGGTGCCGTCTCCGCACAGGGGTGAGGGGGTAGTAAGCTGGCTTGGCCGTGAAAAAGATGTATGAACTATATCCTCAGACCTTTGGGATCTGAGTTTGGGTCGTTGCCAAGTGGGATTATGTTTAGACTGGTCTTGCGAAAAGTTATGCTCACGGCAACCCTAAACCTAAACCCTAATACCTTAAAGCCCTAAACCCTAAAGCCCCAAACTCCCTAACCCTAAAGCCCTAAAGCCCTAAAACCCCAAAGCCCTAAAACCCTAAAGCCTTAAACTCCCTAACCCCAAAGCCCCAAACTCCCTAAAACCCCCCAAAAGCCCTAAAACCCTAAAACCCCCCCAGAAAACCCGATGCCCCAAGCCCAGGCATCCACTGAAACCCTGGGAGCGCACTGAAACCCTGGGAGCCCACTGAAACCCTTGGAGCCCTACTTTATAGTGCCTCAGGCCCTGCGTTCCCCCTAAGGCGGACATCCACGAAACCCTGGCCGAGCCCGTCACACTCTAAAGCCCCAAGGCCTAACCCTAAAGCCGAAATTTCAGATGAATCTCAACCCTGAACATAATTAAGCCCTAAACCCTAAACCCTAAACCCTAAACCCTAAACCCTAAACCCTAAACAACAACATGAACCCTGAACCCTAAACCCTAAACCCTAAACCCTAAACAACAATATTAAACCCTGAACCCTGAAGCCTCAACTGCAAACGACACCCCTGCTCACTGCACCCGGAGTTTCAGCTCAGGTTCGGCCCGAACAACAACGCTAAGCTTTGGCCCATCGATCGCCCGGAAGCTGGGCCATCAGGGTTTAGGGTTTAGGGCTGAGGGTTTAGGGCTTTGGGTGTAAGCTGTAGGGTTTAGTTTTTTTCTTTTAGGGCTTTGGGTTTAGGGGTTTTGTGGTTAAGGCTTAGCGGTCTAGGGCTTTGGCGGTCTAGGGCTTTGGGTTTAGCTTAGGCCTCCGCAAGAAAGGTTTTCGATATTGGCATAGTACAGTAGGGTTCAGAGTTCAGGGTGTATTTTCTTAAGCAGGAGTCATACCAACATGTTGTTTCGAGTTGGTACATATGGTCTATCCTGGAGAAGGAGCACAACCTTGATAGTTTATTCTGAAGGAGACACCAAAAATAACGACTTGATCCTGAATCCTACACCCTTTTTGCCCTACACCCTCAACGTAGGGGCCTTGATAATTAGAGTACGGTTTTGGGTGTTCCTTATTACCAATATAATGTGACATACCGCAAGACCCTATTTTGATTATTACTTATCTTTCGTTAGTGGGGAATGTAAGAATGGCAGTAATAGTAGTTATACTTGTACCCCATTCCTCCATTCCCTACTAACCAAAGGTGAGATTAAGGCCCTTGTATTAAACCCCAGCCTTAAAGCCTCCAACCCTAAACCCCAAACCCTAAACCCTCAACCCTAAACTCCTAAGCCCTAAAGCCTAAACCCCTAAACCCTAACTCCTAAGCACTATAAACCCTAAACCCATAAACCCTACCTCCTGAGAAAACTCCAAACCCTAAACCCCAGCCTTAAAGCCATCCAGAAGTGCCGAGGAAGGCTTAGACCCCGAGCAGGAGAAGCGAATCTTGGCGGTCGAAGTGGTTAGGGCTTGGGTTTTTTGGGGTTTAGGGTTCAAGGTTTAGGGTTTGGGGTTTAGGGGTTTGGGGTGCAGGGTTTGGGGTTTAGAGGTTTAGGGTTTAGGGTTTGGTGTTTAGGATTTAGGGTTGTTTAGGGTTTGGGGTTTAGGGCCCAGGCCTCCCAATACCCAGGAATTGAGGAATTGTTCCGCAAGTCATATCAGTGATCCTACTACAGTAGAAGCCCAAAAGTTGGAAACCCAATAGCCTCGATCCTTATGAGTAATATATCAGGGATCCCAGCACTGTTTGGCCTTAATTTAAATGCGGTTTCCAACTGTATGAGGTTTACTGTAAGGCTTTGAGACATTTAGGGCACTCAAGGGCACTCAATGCTTAGGGATTAGGGTTCAGGTTCTGATTTTTTTTCGGGGTGTTAGGGTATTCTCTAAGGTCTGTTTCGGGATTAAGGTGCTGCAGGGCTTGGGGCTCTGGGGGAAGTAGGGCTTGCATTTTGGGATCGACCAGGCTCGGGTTCAAGATCCGAGGTATATTTAGGGGATCATGGGACCTAGTAACTAGGGTTATAATTAGGGTAACTATACCTATAACCCCAATTAAGCAACTTGTAACCTTACTTACTAAGTCCCGTGATCCTCCAAGTACTTCCTCACCGTCAGGGCTCGTTGCAAAAGGGCCCATGCGTTAAAGAAAACTAGGTTCAGGGTCGACAACATGATGTGAGACCGCAGAGCACCTGCAGTCTCGTGGTGCAGTTCTGCAAGACAAGAGGCACGACAAACCTGCGGAATAGTTTCGACGACACGGTCTTTGAGCGATCCTCTCGGAGGGCAGCGCTTCTACGTCGGGGGTGCCGAACAAACCAAGATCGAGGTGAGCGCGGAGGCCTGTGTCCAGCTCAAGAAGCGCGAACTGGCACAGTTGTGCGTTGCTACCTCGTGGCCAGATGCGACACCAACAGTCAGGCATGGGATGTGGGACTGAACGCAAGGAGGTTGACTTCCGTGACGGCCTCGCTGAACCTCCAGCAAGCGGGCGAGGTGTGGGCAGCAACGACTCAGGGCAATGACGGATTGCCGCCACTTTGCCAGTGTCATGACAACCATCGGACACAGACGATCTTCATAGGGTTGACACGTTTTCTCCGATTTTCCCTCTATCTGCGCCACTCGCCACAATTTGAGGGCCGGTTGCGGGCTCAGGCTTTCATGTTCGATGTCAAGCGGTGCACATGCTTGACCAAGGTGCAGAGCAGCAGCCTCAACAGCTACTCGTACCCTTCCTTCCAAGCCCCGAGATAGCTGCAGTAGAGTCGACAGTGATCAGACGCAACAGTTTTTGTGTCACGCACAGAGCAGTGGTACGGGTCCTCTTAAGTCTGGCAACATCCAGCTCGGAGGCCTCAAAAGGTGGGATGAAGGTGGGTAGGATCAAGGATCCCTTATATACGGACTCTCATTTGGGAATATCCCACCTAGCTTCATCCCACCTTTTGATGCCTCCGACCAGCTAGGCCATGTTCCCGATGAAAGGAAGACCTGGTCCGCAGGTATTTAACATCGTGGACATGTATCCCTAAACCCGAACCCTAAACCTTGAGCCCCTAAATCCCAACACCACACCCTAACCCTAAAATACTCTGAAGATCCACCTGGCAAGACCCAAACCTTTTTTTACTTTTTTGTAGCGTCCCTTACATTCCATGTTAAGGCTTTAATAAGCGCCTACAGAAGAGTAGGTTATGGTAGCTTAAGGTAAAGATTAAAGCCTGAACCCTAAAACGCCGAAACATTGGATTGTAGATGCTGCAACTTAACCCTGACCCAACGCGCAAGTAGACTGTCCAAGCTCCTACGAGCTCAGGTGCAAAGGCAGCCTACAACAAGTTTGTGAAGGGACTGCCCGGGAAGGACCCCTAAACTCCCTAAGCCCTAGACCCTAAAAGTAAAGCCTAAACCATAAGCCTTAACCCCCAAAAATAAAGCTCAAAACCCCTAAGCCCTAAAAAATGAGTTCTAAATCCTAAACACTGCATCTTAAACCCGAAAAGTAAACCTAAACCTAACAACTACCCCTCAACCCTAAAACCCGGGGGGACTTGCGGTCAGAAAAGGCCTCTCTATGGTGTGGGGGACCTTGGCTTCGAACTTCTTCGGTCTGTTTAGGGGTTTAGGGTTTTGCATGGTTCCCCTCAGCCTTACACCCGAAGCGACATGCTAGGTCCACGCAGGCCCGAGGTTTGCCGACGTGCATGAGGAATTCATAGGTTTCAGGATTTGCAAGGGTTTTGCACTACTTAGATCTTTCGGGTTTCGGGGGTTTAGGGCTATGCTTTAGGGAGCTCTTCTCTTTGAAACTGTGGCGTGAGCAGGTTACAAAGCTTGCGTCTCAGTCGACTGGCCCGTGCAAGACGAACTGTCAGGGGTTCCTTCCGAACTGGGGCCCGCTTTGGAATTCTACTCTACTTGTTGCCAATGTCAGTGAGCGCGACACCCTAAACCCTAAACCTCTAAGCCCTAAATCCTAAACTCTAAACCCTGAACCCCTACACCTTGTCCAACTCTTCGCTGCCTCCCGTTTCTATCACGTGCACCTCAGAGATCTTCTGGTAAGAAGGAGGCCTCAATAATTGACCCGATTATCCTTCAGGGTTCCTTATCATAATTATACACTATGATGTATCCCCCCCAATACCCATGCTAATCATTAAGGCCCTCACAGTATGGGCCCGACACCTGTCTTTTCTCTGGCCTGTGGGATACTCTAGGTCAAAACCTTTAACCCTATAGGCCTCAAGCACTAATCCCTACCAGGACACCCCGATGGCCCCTTAACAGTGCCCCAATAGTGGGTATTTAGGATATGTTAGAGGGTAATTGTGGGGTCTAAGTATAGACCGGCAAGCTATATCCTAGAGCCTGTCAACTCAAACTCTGACTCCCTGCCCTCGTACAGAAGTGACAACTACTGCTATCTCAGACCCCAGTCCTTAGCTGTTAGGCACGTTGGATCCTCAAAACGCAATAAACTCCGTCTACGTCTATTAAACACAAGCCCGACACCCTCGATGCCAAACTCTGAGCTCTATATGCCGCTAGGCAACATAAGCCTGAAAATCACAGGCCCTGCTTGAAGCCGCATAAACCTACTGCCACAAGTCAGAACCCTACAAGGCCCTAAGTCTCGTAAACACTCCCCAAAATCTAAAGCTCAAGGTGTAGACCCAAAGCACGAATGCCCTAACGCATTAATTCCTAAAGCCCAAAGCCCCAAACTACTAGAAGCCCTAAACCCACAAGCCAAAAACTTAAAGGCCCCATATATACCCTCGAATGCCAGTCCTTCTTTTGTATGACCTATTTGGGACGCATAGTCTATTTCATGGTCAGGATCCCACAGTAAGAAACCAAGTTAGCCAAAGGCAGGCAATACATTTTGTGGTCTAAGGAAGCCCTGAAACTTTCATTAAACCCGAAAACCCTATGCCTTAAACCCGGAACTCGAAAAGCCCCAAACCTGAAAACTTGAATCACCCTCAACCCTGAAGCCCTAAATCCCCAAACCTTAAAGCCCTAAAGCCTAAGCCCTAAACCCCTAAACCCCTAACCCTAAACCCTAAGCCCTAAAACCTAAACCCTATATAAATCCTTAAACCCTAAACCCTATACAAATCCCCAAACCCTAAACCCCCCAAACCCTAGAGCCCTAAAGCCCAAAAAAAAGCCCTAAGACACAGGAAGACCGACTCTTCTACGGGGACCTGGTCTTCGGCGTGAACTTCGGCACCGATACCCGGGGGCGCCCTGGCGCACATTTTTGGAGGTTTCGAGTTTCGGACTGTTTGGGCTCAGGTACAGGTTTAACCCCAAGTAACCTACCTTTTCAAGGACTTATATAATGAAATCATATTAGGGAACCCTAAAAAGGCAGGTTCCTTAGTGTCCAGGAGGGTTTTGGGAGGTTTACTGGAGTGTTGTCCGGTTTACTGGGGTGGTAGGAGTTCAGGGGTTTCGGTATCGGGATTTCATGATGTGTAGCATGTATGTATGTATATATATATATATATACACACATATACCAGTCTTACATGGTTTTGCTAAGGATGCTACCGGACTTGGTAGCAGGTGTTTAGATCGAGGATGTTTCAAACGTTCTCTGAATGGCTTTCATAAGGTTGTGAGGGCTGCATGAGGTTTCACAGGCTGTTTGTACCAGGACTTGCTAGTTTCTCGATTTCATCAAAGGGCTTTTTATAATATGGCATATCCACGAGTGCTTTCGGGGAAACTGGTCTGGCGCAGTCAGATGTGGGTCTTGCAACATGGCGACGCTGCTGCGATGATAGTGATGATCACGACGGAACCCTAAACCCTAAACCGATTGCAGGTGTCTCGTATGCCTTCGGAGGATAAATGGAACGCACAGCAGTGCCAGGCCTCCTGCACAAAGTTACTTCAAGGATCATGGGACTCAGAAACTAGGGCTCCTTAAAGGGCTCCTTTAAAGGGATCTAAAGGGTTCTATAAGAGGGTTCTTAGGGTTACTTGAAGGAACTTAGTAATTAGGGTTATAATTAGGGTAACTATACTTATAACCCCAATTAAAGTACTTATAACCTTACTTACTAAGTCCCATGATCCTCCAAGTAGGTACCCAAAGGGTCCAAAGTACCCATCTAGCAGAATGTAGGTTTCCTTTCCTAGCAGTTTCGAGTATGAATTGGGGAAGTATCCCCCATAACGGTACCTAGGACCCCGGGCCGGTATCCGGAAGCTCCTACCTGGACAGCAAAAGTCTGTCGAACGATAGCCTTTTATAGAGGGCCATTATTTTACGTGACGTTTAGGGGGTGTATGGAGTGTAGGATTTATAAAGTTTGTGGTTTCGGGCATTATTCTACTTCCTTAAACTCTAAACTTTGGGCGTTTAGGCATTCTTCCAGTACCAAGCGATGCTTTCTCCAACACTCCGCATTGTCCAGCCACGGAGAGCTCAGAAGACGACGACAGCTGAGGAGGCCCCAGCACGATGGCTTGTGGGAAGAGACTAGATATATTTACGCCTCTATATGGGAGTTCCCGAAAACAGGGGACCCTAGTTCAGTACCCAAAAGAGTAGGATCCTCATTATAAGGACCCCAAAACAAGGTACCCCGAATTTTCGGAAGCTCCCATATTACCCGACGCTCCCAAGCCGTGATGTAGGCTTCCGGCCGAGGATTCATTGCAGGGCTGGGTGCACCCTGAACCCTCAGACCCCTTTTGTAATGAATCGTATGGCTCCGATGGCCAACGCTTCTGCTGCAGCCAAGGCGCCCTATTCAGAAGAAGGCACGGCAGGGGAACATTCTCTCCCCTAAACCCTAAACCCTAAACCTTCGATTTAGAAATCCAGCATCCAGTTCCATAAAGGTGCAGAAAGAGCGATTGAGCCTCCTGTGGTAACTGGGGGGCGGGGTTTAGGGTTTAGGCTTTAGGGTTTAGGGTTTAGGGGTTTAGGGTTTAGGGTTTGTGGTTTAGGGTTTAGGGGTTAGGGTTTGGGGTTTAGGGTTTAGGGTTTAGGGTGTGTGTGTGTGTGTGTGTTGTTCGTTCGACTTTCCATGCGGTTTCAATCTCAAGGAGGGTCTACCCAGTCTCACCAAGCTGGCTAGCAGCGGACGAAAACCACACCCTAAACTAAACCCCAGAAGCCCTCATGAAATAATCCAAAGTTCAAGATGTTCATGAGCCCTCCTCGGTTCCATCATGGACATGCATAACTTTATCAGAGTCAGCTTCAGGCTTTATGATCTAATGTCTCACAATTCTCAGGATGTAGAGTTCAGGGGGTCTTTGTAATGCATCTGGGTGCCTGAATTCTTGGTGAAGCTTTCACCTGGAGTTTCGGCATTTGGGCTGCTGCGCACCCATGCACGGGTCTCGTGTTATGTGAAGTTCCCGATTCATGTTTTGGTCGAGGGGTGGGAATCTGTTTGCACAGTGAAGGTAGCGAGGAGGGACAACCACAAGCACTGGCAAGAACAACCATGCTATAGCAATGCGTTGAAGCAGTTGTCTTCTTCTTCCTCATAATCATCATCACCATCATCATCGTCATCATCATCATCATCATCGCCATCGTCATCGTCATCATCATCATCATCATCATTACCACCACCACCACCACCATCATCACGTTTTCTTCTAATTACTTCGTAGTCAATACCAGCACCAGCATCAATAACAATAGCCATTGTCACCACCATGATGATGATCATCATCGTCTTCAGCTTCATTAACACCTACCAATCAATCAACCACCCTACTTCCTTCAAGTCACGGCCACTGCTCGCAGAAGCCTATGCTCAATGGGCTGGATTCCGAGGAGCTCGTGTTGCACGCTCGCAACCCTGTCCTGAAACCCTAGGGCCCCCAAAGCCCAGGCCCCGAACTTTCGAAACCCTAAACTCCTAAACGTAAAAAAACCCTAAACTTCTGGCTCAGGGCAGGGAACGCAGGATTGAGCTTGCTCTGTGCCCTAAGGCCCAAGCCACACACCGCGCCCTACGAGCCCGAGCATCCCTAAACCCTAACCACTCGTGAACCGAACCCCATCAGCCTTATAAGCTTTGTAAGCCCTCTCAAACCTAACCCCCAAATAACCCTAAATCGCACGCCCTGTAAACCCCAAGGAGCTCCACAATCCCAGAAACCCGAATCCAGCCCTCCGTCGGGGAACAAGCATGAACTTCAGGTTAAGCTTTGAACTCTAGGTTTTTTGTGTTTTAGGTGTTTTTTTTTTGTTTTTTTTTTGGGGGGGGGGGGGGGGGGGGGGGGGGGGGGGGGGTTGTGTTTAGGGTTGTTTTCTTGGTTTACGCTGTAGGACTTCGGGTTATCCTTGGCGACTTAGGGTTTAGGGCTATTAGGACTCCATCAGCCACTATCTTGCAGGGGCCATCTTCGGGTTTAGGGTTTAGGGTTTTAGCATAACCAGCCCGCACCCGGAGCCACACATAGAACCCACATGGGAGTTTCCGAAAATTAGCGTACCTTATTCTGGGGTCCTCATGATAAGGATCCTACTATTTAGGCTAATTACCATACTAGGGTCCCCTATTTTCGGAAACTCGCAGAGGCTTATACAATGCTTATGTTTTCGAACCCCACGGAAAAACACCCTTATCAGACATCTTATATCGTACCCAAATGGCATGATGGTACGCTTGCATACTTGGAGGATCGTGGGACTCAGTAACTAAGGCTATAACTACCTCAAGTGGGGTTATACGTCGCTATAAGTAGTCTTGCCCTAATTATCGCCCTAGTTACTAAGTCCCATGATCCTTTAACTAACCCTGTTCCCAGAGCCTTCCCCAAACCAGACGGTGCCGCCAATTCTAGACGCCGGCAGGAACATGATCCCTAAACCCTCATCCCTCAAACCCAACGCGCAGCCCTAAACAGTAGGCCCAGAGCCTCCAAAACCCCTTAATTAAGGAATATACCTTAACATCATATTAGGGATCCCATTATAATTTAAGGTATATTCCTTAATTAAGAGGTTTTGGAGGCTTTGGGGACCCTAAACCCTAAACAATAGACTCCTTCGCATGCGAGAGAGTGCACTCGTCCGAGTACTGACTCCACTCAAGAAGCAATAGACTCAATAGACCCTAAACCCTATAAACCTACAGCTCTGAACAATAGACCTTAAACAATGGACCCTATAGGCCCTAATCCTTCAAAACCTACGGGTCTAAACAATAAACCTAGGCCGAAAGCCCCAAACTAAACCGCCCTTGCGGAGGAATAGTCTGCACGTCGCGGCGGGCATCCGATGAGCTTCTAAGAGCCCTCCGGTGTAGGGTTTAGGGTTTAGGGTGTACGATTTGCGGCTTGGCATTGACGATTAACTGATGGGCTTTGGCGCTTAAAACATCGAGGTCTGGCGTCTGGTGTTTGTTGATCCGTTTGTTCGTTCGCTTCTTTTGTTTGTTAAGGTTCCTTCGTCGGATGTGCTTTGCCAGCTTTTGTTTCTTTCGAATCCTTCTCCGTTGTTTTCAGACCGATCAACCGTCGTTGTGTTCATTCGTGCCTTCGCTGTCTCATTTGTTCTGTGTGTTTGATTCGTTGGTTTGCTTCCTTGTTCTCCTTTGCTTTGCTGTTTGCTGCCATTGGCCTTTCCATGTGCGCAAATTATACTTTGGGCCTCATGTAACTATGTAGGGAGTACTTTATGGCTCAAGTCTTTACTATTTGGGTACATGGACCCTTATACGCGAAACCCTTATAGACCACTTAAAGGAGCCCTTAAAGAAATCCTAAAAGGAACCTACTTGGGTACATGGACCCTTAGGGTTCTTGTTCCTTTACATTCTCCTCACCTCCATGGGTCTCCAATCCGACAAATGCGGCAACGGCAAACCTCCAAGCCCCCCTGATGGGTTTAGGGTTTAGGGTTTTAGGGGTTCAGGGTTTAAAGGGGTTTAGGGGTTTACGGGTTTAGGGTTTACGGGTTCGACTCGAGTTGCAGGACTTCTGGTGCAGGGCTCCTGCTTTGAGATTTAACCCGGCCAGGGGGGGTTCATTGAGGCAGCACGCGCTCACAAACGTCAAAGGAAGCGGCTGCAGGAGAAGGCACACGGCACCGACGCGCATCAAAATCCCTCATCCCGTGTATAGAGTCTTCAACTACATCCCATGCACGCTGAATCGTACATAAACCTAAGCCTTAAACCCCAGACCCATAAAGCCGAAACCTTTCTTCAGCTATTCTCATGGGCAAGCTCAACTGTTCACCTGGAAGCTCCAGTCTCCCGACCACAGCCCGTCATCAGGCTAGTCAACTTTAGCAGCCTTAGGCATGTTCAGGTTTTAAAGTAAAAGCCAGAAAGTTGGAATATGATTATCCTAAACCATTTATGGTAGATTATAGGCTATCCTACCCTGAAACCATATTCCAACTTCTGGAGTTCCCTTAGGGTAGTTCAATGTCCCTGTGGCTCTTTTTCATCAGCTTTCCGCTTCATCTGAGTATTGGATTCTAGCCGTTTAGCGATTAAGTTTGTGCTTTCGTTGCAGGCTTGTCCCGAAAAGCCAAGCAAGTTGTATATGATCAGAAGCCGCCACTGCCTACTCCTGCAGCCGCGCAGCAGCGCAACGATCTGTCCGAGAAAGTGTTACGCAAGACTGGCTTCTGCGACGGGTTTTCGAAAGTCATAACCCTAAACCCTAAACTCCAACCCCCATGCCTTTGAGGATGTACATAGTTTAAACGCCGATTTTCAAGGCAGATACCTGCATTCCGACCCAACCCGAACTACCCTGCCCTCAGCCTGTCATACAAATACGTATCGATGCAGTGGAACATCGCGTTTTCAGGATGTCCGGCATTTCAGATTTGATGAGTTTTGCTTTAACCCTAAACCTGAAACTCTAACTTGATCCGGGAAGTCTCTGTAAGTTTGAGATTTAGCAGGTTTTAGCGGAATAGACCGCCAGATAACCTTCTGGCATTCGTGCCCAAACCCCTTTGAAGCCTAAGAACATTCATTCCGATTTCAGAGTTTGCATCCTCCGAGCCTACCATCGCGGTTTGACGATGATTTAACTTATTTACCGCAAAGCAAGATTAAGCCGGAGCCTTCCGGAACTGTCAGTCATGGAAAGAAGACCAATCTTGTTTATGTTTATTTGCCTGTACGGTCCCAAGAAGACGAACCTCGAGTTGTAGTCCGGCAAGCCCTAGCCCTGTGACACTGTGGCGAGTCCGCGAGCATTGAAGAGCTGGCCTTGCGATGCCACGGATCGTCGTTTCTTCCTAGGTTGCAGCATCGCCCAGAGCAGCAAGCTTGGGAAAGTGTGATTTCGATCTAGGGTTATATGTTTCGAGTATGAGGCTTTAAGGCACCCCCTCAACCGTGATGTTGCGTATCGCCGGGTGCAATCACAGTCACGCTTTGGGAAGCGCCGGTTCAAGCCAGGGTTGCCAAGCTGATCTCCGGTAAGTAGTTCAGTTTCTACAAGTGGTACTAGTGGGGACTGTGGTGACTATCGGACTGTCGCCGTCGTCATCATCATCATCATCTGCTTCATCGTCGTCAGATGGGTCAAAGTCTAGAACTAAGTTATGGCAACACGTGGCTACAACAAAAGAGTTACTTGCAAAAAGCAGAACTACTGCAAGCGATCGCAGTATTTATATTGAGACACAAGCACTATTGGCGTGATCACTGTCATGCTGCTACTACATACTGCTGCTGCTGCGACTGCATCGACGACGACATCAACCACCTTCGACCACTAATATCACCACCAAAACCACCAGTACCCGTGGCGAAGCACCTGCAAAAAATAATCAGTTAAAGTACACAGTCTTACCGCAGCTTGGACATCTTGAGTTCCCGAAGCAATCCTTATTCCAGGCGTGTTGGGCTTTACAGGCTTCAACAGGGTTCCATAGGGTTTCAGGTTTGTTCCGGTCACTCAAACCGAACAACTTCTAAGCCATGTGAAACCAACACCATCAATAAAGGTTTTTTGAAAGTCATCATTCATACCCCAAAAAAACCTAAACACCAAGCCTTAGCACAAACTCATAAACCTTTAACCCCAACAGCCCTGAAGCCCTAAACCTTAAACCCAACTCCAAAAGCTGTTTTTCATCCCTAAACACTGAAACCCATTCACTAAACCCTAAACCCCACCCCTAAACCCCTAAACCCTAAACCCTATTCACCCTTAGCCATAGAAGGCGAAACCTGCAGCCGAAGCGGCCAAAGCTGCTGCCGAGGTTCCTCCAACCTTCTGTGGGTTTAGGTCTTAGGGTTCAGGGTTTAGGGCTTAGGGTTTAGGGTTCAGGGTTTAGGGTTTGGGGTTTAGGGTTTAGGGTTCAGGGGTTAGGGTTCAGGGTTCAGGGTTTAGGGTTTGGGATTTAGGATTTGGGGTTTAGGGTCTAGTGGTTTTAGGGGTTGTAGGTCTTAGCATTTGGGGTTTAGTAGTGGGTATGCAGGCCCAGGATTCATGACGCAGAGTTTTAGCCAGGAAATGCAGGGTACGGCTTTGGCCCAGAGGGAACGACCCGTAGCGGCGGGGGTTTAGGGTTTAGTGGTGAGACCCCTAAACCCTTAACCTCCAAAGCCTATGTGCAGGTCGTAGGGTCTAGGGTTTATGGCATGGCAAGTAGCTTGAAAGGACCCCGATACGTAGTGGTTTAGTGTTGGTTTGTATAGGGTTTGTCCAGGAGCCATTGTTAGGTTTTGATAGGTTTCTGCTGTATACGCTTTTAAACAAGGGGCTTCGAGATGGATTCTTTTGGGGAAAAGCTTATACATGTTCATTTTGAGGCCCTCGAAATGAACCCTAAATCCTATCTTCGAGAGACATTCTCGCCTTGACGTCGTCGTCTTCTAATCAATGCTGAGAGCAAAAGAGGGTTTAGGTCTTCAAGGCTTTAGGGTTCAGGGTTTTGAGTTTAGGGGGTTGATTCTCCTTCCAAAATACCTGGAAGGCCCATTGAAGAAGCGAAACAGAATCATCAAGAAGACGGGAGCTCGGCCAGACTGCCGCAGAGAAGCGAGCCTACTTTACAAGCTGGCCACCCAGAAAGCGTGGCAAGCGACAATCCGCAACCTAGCCAACAAATGAGGCCCCTCAGAATCGGCTCGATGACATGCGGCAGCGGCTGGCCAGGTACTGGTTCCCTAGTATGGTGATAGCGTATAGCACACCCAAACCCCCAGTTCGATTCTTCCAGCTCTATGTTATCCAATTCTACAAATCCCAAACCCAAAAATCCTGGAAGCACAGGGCTCTGGTTGGATGATGGGCTTGGATTAGGGTTTAGGGTCGAAGGCTCTTGTTGGATGATGGGCTTCGGTCTGAGCACCTAGCAGCTTTGAGACATTCGTAATTCTATTCCAGGGTTCCTAATGATCATTAAAGCGCGCTGCTCCCCAAAACCTATTCGAGCCATTGAGGCAGCTATACCGACTTTAGGGGCCTTATGATTACTATACCGACTTTAGGGGCCTTATGATTGCTATACCGACTTTAGGGGCCTTATGATTACTATACCGACTTTAGGGGCCTTATGATTACTATAACAGAATATTCTCCCCAAAACCCTATTCTAGCCATGAAGGCAGCGACCTAAATGGGACACCCTAATGGAAGAACCTGATCAAGAAACCCCGGGCCTGTAAGGAGCCCTGATAAAGGCCCAAGGTTTATTAATCGGGTTCCTACATAATTAGAGTACCCTTATATATATATATATATATATATATATATATATATCCCTTATAAAGTAACCCTTACCGACCCCTTTAAAGGAACCCCCCATAAAGGCCCAAGGTTTCTTAATCAGGTCCCTACATTAAACCATCAAAGGAGGCCTTGGACGAAGCAGCCCGACTGGCCAACACCGGTCGTGAGGAGGGAGAGGGGAGTCCATGGCACGGAACAGAGGGTTTGGGTTTTGAAAGGGCTCTTAAGGGGTACTATAAGGGTACTACAAGGATACTATAAGGGTGCTTTACGGGTTTAGAGTTTGGGGTTTAGGGTTTGGGCTTTAGGGATTTTGCGGCTTAGGGTTTAGGGTTTAGGGGCTTGGGTCTAGTGGCTAAGGGTTTATGGTTTCTTGCATCTTGGGTGGTATGCTGTTTACAGGGTGCTTCAAGATGTTGTAAGATGCTGTTATATGGGGTGTATAAATTGTTTCGGGTTGTTTGTTGTTTCTGTTTTCAATGAGATGTTGTAAGGGCTGTTACAGCCTAAACCCTAAACCCTAAACCCTTTTAGGGATTGTACATC